TAATAATTTGCGAATCTTTACTTATTTTTACGGAGATTGGACTTTATCTACTAAATAACATCCTCATCAAAAGGATTTGCATTTGGTCTACTAGACTACCCATCATTTTCCGCTTGTTTCTCAATGCACAATCGTAATGCTTTAAATTTGACTAGTTCTTATTATACATAATTCTTCTTTCTTATCCGGTACATTTTAGAGCCATCAAATTTGTATTGCTTTATATTTTATACCACTGATTAAATGAATTGTTAAAGTACTTTTCTAGTTTGGTGAAAATCTCATTTTTGAAGCTAGCTTGCAATACTTTGAGCTTCTTGTTTGATTTTTATAAAATTCTATTTAACTTTATGTATGTGTGCATACAATTTTGCTTATTGTAACCCTCTTGATACCAAATGCCGAAAGTCATTTTTAGATACTGATGCTTTGATGGCCTTACGTTTTGTTTTATTTGTTGAAGCAAACTTACCTTTATGTTTTTATGCCAATACAACTATCTAGAAATTCATCAATATTTTGTTTTCTTTAAAACAAAATATTCGTGCTGGACTAAAAATTGTCGAGTTTTAAAGTATTTATATCTTACTTACAGCTTAGTGTATCAGCTTTCAAGTATTTTAATCGAGATTTCGGTTCCCTCCATCACTGTCTTTTTATTAAATCAATTGCTTTTATATCAAAGTGCTATTTTTAGAATCGCGTTAATCATATTTTCTTAAGACTTTCTCATCCCCTGCAGTAGTTTTTTTATATTTCTTTATGCTCACCTTACTCCTTATTTTTTGATGTTCGCTTCTAACTTTTCGCATTCTTCATAACTCAAGGTGAGACTCTTGGATTGAATTCTCGTGGTGAGCAAGCTTCTCCAAATGCATGGGGACAGTCAACCCCTGCCTCTCGCGCTGCATCTGCAGGCTATTCCAGTAATGGTTTCTATCAGCAACAACGATATCAGCAACCCTATTTGCAGCATCAGCGTAGCTCAAGTGTAGCTAGCGGAGGAGGTGTGGGCCCAACTTGCCCCTCTTCTTCCTCCTCCTCTTCATACCACACTGGCCTTTCGCATCCTCATTCTCATTCCAGCTCCCAGAAACAATATAACACTTCGGCGACCTCCTACAGCCAACATCCAGGCCAGCCTTATTATCCTTCTGTTGGGGATAGCTATACAGGCTATCAAAAGCAGCAGCGCTATCAAGATGATGGTTAGTCGTGCATTTTTTACTATATTTTCTTTTTTGTGGCATCGTTACTTATCTACCCAGCTACTAAAGTATGTGTGCATATTTAGAAAAAATCTAGAATTAAGGACATTAAAAAATGTTGATAAATCCCAACTTACTTACTTTTAAGGTACGATTTTGTTTTCCATACTTTGTTAGGCTTGATAAGGTACATTTTTAAATACAATAACGAATATACTCTACGACCTAGAGCCACACGATTTTAGCCTTCCTAGCTACAATCTAATTTCAATGGGCAGATTGCTAAATGAGGCCCTAATTACAGCAGGCCATCGTAGGCCAATCTTGCCGCTTGAGCTCTAAGCTGTTGTAAACGTTATGACATCTCTTTATTTTCGTCACTTTAGGATAAACTATCTCTGACAAGAGTAAATCTATATTATATCCATTTTTTCTGCTGACATTGGAGACATGATGAGGAAGGCGGAAAATTACTTAACTTTTTAGTTATTGAATGCATGTTGATTCATGATCTGAGTATAATTCCCATTTCGGATGGCTTTCATAAACTGTAGAGGATGAAAGGCAAATTGTTAAAAAGGTGGTTGGACTTAATGTGTAATATGCACACTAGAGGAATATGCATTAACAGGGGATTTTCAGTCAGCCCCAGGTCAAACTACCCAGTTTAAAAGTAGAGTTTTATAGGATGCATCTCGCATAACAAATTAAAAATGAAGAGAACGTATTGAGTTTATATCTTATTCCTCTTCACGCTGAGCATGCGGTGGTCCTCATAAAAGGATTGAATTTGTCACCGCTAAATATAAGTCAGGTAATGAAGAACATTTTTTGGTGGTCATAAATAACTCTGATAATTTACCGGGGGAATCACAATGGTAGATGGAAATGGAAATTATCCCGAAAATGTTGGTGCATCATGCGACTGAGTAGAGGATATATAAAATAAGTGATCAAACAGTTCTACAAACAAACAGATGTCACAGTAGTCATGGAAAAAAGCTATATATGTATAAAATATAATATATTCTCGCGCATAGATCAATTTATTAGCTGCTAACAAAGGACTCAGCAGTTAAAATGAAGGAGAATCTTCAATAAATGCTGAAACAAATGTGTTCGAGTGGGGACATCCACAAATAGACTATGTTTTCACTATTACGGCGACACTAAAGACTGAAATAGTCTGAATAGTCATCATAAGAAGTCTAAGACTAACTAGTATGGGTTCATATTTATCATTTATAAGTAAGTTTTGAGACTACCAGTAGATCATATATATATATATATATCGGGTAGTGCAATTTAGAATCGACAAAATTTTGATTTTTATATCTACGATTCAAATAGATTCTTATTCTTCTTTATTTGTCTCTGCACTATCTTTTATCTTTTAAATGCCATTTAATGATTATAAATTGCCAATACCTATGGCTCTAGAGCTAACCTTGCTTTGATTTTTTTAAAAATTCTATCGGCATCTGGCTCAGGCTTTCAGTTTGTTTAGTATAACTGGGACCAGCAGCAGAATGCCTAGGAACTAAGCTGAACAGAACAGGAATGTGAATATTTTGTTTACTTCATAAATATAGCAGATTTAAGGGTAGAATAAAAAAGGCATATCTGACTAATACTTTAAAGTTTATTTCTATATCCGTTTTACGATGCACCTTAAAATTCTGTAAGGTCCTTGGATTTGATTAGACTTTATTAACTCTGACTTCTCTAACCGGGACAGTACGGTATTCTTTACTTATAGTGTGAATCTGCTACGTGTCTATAAGTCCTACCATTCAGTACATACGTATTTATTCTGCAAATTTATTTAGCTCCTTTAGGTCTAAATTATGTCATGTTTGATAAAGTTTATACCTGTGATGAGTCAAAATGTAAGGCTTGGTTTAGAACTTCTTTACAAACCTTGGGCGGTTGGTTCAGTCGACATTTCTTCCTATAAATGACTAGTCATATTAACCAGTTTCTGACAATTTTCCAATTTATTTTTCCTTATGCTACAGTGCTCATGGCACTTTTCTCTTGTTACTTTATCCCCGATTCTTAATAAAATATTAATTATCAAATACCTTTAAGTTGCCGTGCAACGATTGTCTAGATTATGTATGAATCTGTGTCTCAACTCCATCATAAAATGAGCTTATTCATCTTAAATCTGCTTTTCTGTTGCGATGATCACCTAGTATATTATTACATATTTTTTTGTTTCTATACGTTGGTTTTCCCATATCTCTTCTCTCTTGACTTTTCTTTTATTTTACCCTTAGTTCCTCTTGTAATAGTCACAAACTTGAACCTCTAGTTCTGATCCCTTTATCTTATCCATTAGAATTTGCTGATTCCGGCTACGCATCACGATCTCATGGTAACCAAGCGATCTCTCAAGGGTACGTGGCCACACTCTAATATTTTACTCATTCTACATTATCTTGTCAATATTTATTTCTCTTTAAGAGTGGCTGAAGCGAAGCTATTTCATCACAAACTACTTCTCGACTCCTAAAGTTGCCTAGACATAATCGAATCGCGTATCTACTTCACAATTTTATTTTGGGATTTTTTTCCCTACTAAATTTTTATATTTACTTTAAACATTTTTAGAAAATTTATTTTATGCTTTCTATTCCAACTATTAGTTATAAGATGAAACTTAACTTGCTTGACACTTTATATCAAGCATTGTTTGGGTATCGGACATTCTGATTCCACATTCCATCTTATAGATTACATATTTTTGTATTTGAGTAGAGTTTCTACTACCAGTCCTTCATCACCTTAAACGAAATAGGGTGAATACCTCTCATATTATGGATTACAGTTGAAAATTTAATGAGGGTATCTTTGGTCTCTGTCATAATCCTTACAATGTGACTTATTTATCTTTGACTTTTGGATATATGATACATAGCTTCGATAATATTTTTACAAAATATTTGAT